GGGGTAGAAAGGAGCAATGAAAGTGGTAAAAGACCGAGTGCATTGATAGATCTTTCCATTGAGTAGCCATATCCATTATTCAGTCCGGGGGAGGGTGTGAGGGGGGGTTGGTTGTTGAGTGATATGAGAAAGTGTGGCTCATGGTTAACCTGCACGGTATATCCGTTAGGAAATAAAATAACCCGGCGATGGTTTGAACCTGGATAATAATGACACGTGTGGTCAGCGTCATTTTTTGCCCTTGCGGTTAAAGAAAAGATTCACGTTACAATAGTTGCTACTCAATTTGAAGTCAACGTGAGAAATTTCGGCGGTGTCATGCAAGTCACTCACAAAATTTGCGGCTGTTTTAAAATATCACTTTTTTACTTAATAGTAAAACGAAATCGAATTCTTTACGCTGGTCTGTTCCATGAAGTAGTCAGACTTTCGTTCAGAGACTGCCCCCACAAACACGCAAAGCTTACTGCACTTGCAAGTGCACACAGATCAACTTTAGTGCTTGGCATTCCAGTACTTTGGAAGTAATAAACGCCCATCAAGAGCTTTTCAATGATCCCTATGAATCTACCGTTGATCGAGTTTCAGAAATTCTTTGATCGTATTATAAAGAAGGAGCGCAGCACATTTTTTGGCATTAAATGGAATTAAATCAGCAATAAAATTTAAAATATCTCACAATTTTAAGGAAATTTATATTGTTTTACTTGTATTGTAATCAATTGTAATGGAAAGCATATTTTCGAAAAATGAATTACTTGAAGAATTGGCGTCAAAGATAAAAAGAGCTTTAAAATGTTTTAAATGGTGTCAACACTTATCACAACTAGCCTTAAATGGAATAACAACCTCCGATTTACATCATTTTTAGGATTTTTCCAACTGGTTGAAAAATATAGGCTCGACTTGACGACTCTCGCTCATCAGAATGCGTCGGCAACTTTCCATGCATTACTGATTTGGTAAGAAGGAAAGTACAGTTGAGCAGAAACTGATTCCCTTCGGTCCATTGACGGTCATGTAGATTGCCCATTGGCTCACAGGCACAGAGCACCAAATTGAATTTTATAGTTAACATAGAACTATAGTTAAGGAAGGAATTTGTTAACTCAATTAGCTTGTCAAAACAAGTGGAAAGCTAGCCATGAAATGGCCACCCCATCAACATGAGCAGGTAATATGACACTCCACACCTCAGGGGAGTTGGAAGGGTAAACAGGGGCAAATGAAAGAAACATGAACATAGGAAAAAACACCAAGCAGATGTTCCCAGTGCATTGCCTCAACTGGTTTCTCTGCACAAATTAGACCCACACTTGTTCAATTCATTAACACTACAGTAGCGTCCGGTTTGGTGATAGGCGTAAGCTTTTATAGTGTCTAGTTTCTAAAGGTCACACTCCCTTAAACATTGAAAGAGAGGCAACATAGGCAAAACGTCGTCAATTCACATTCCTATGTCACTATTCCATATTTTTCATCACCCTCCATTTCTATTAAATTGGTTGCATTGGATGAACTAAATTCCTGCTGCCAATGAAGAGGCAAAACCCGCCTTTTACTAACCACTAGCCAGCAACGAATGACTAGACCGGAAAACCGTCCACTTTTCCAATATGGCTTTGACTTTCCCACTTTAGATTAGTTCAAACAATGGCCGATATCAAAACGAAAAGTTTTTCCAACTTCTTTTAATTGTTTGCGACGGGATGGCAAAGTGTGGAGGATAAAGCAAGATCAACGGTGGCAAATGATTGGCATATATTGACACATAAACTTAGTATGACGGAAAATTGCCTTCTTTTAAGGTTTTAATACTTCTACATTGTAAATTTATGAGATCGAATGTACTACTCTCTTCAATTTATCAACAACAACATGATTGGTGACTTACAATTTGTTTAAATCATTTCTAATTAATGTCAATGGCCACTGACCTTCCATTATGATGAGCACACCGGCAAGATGTCGATAAAGCGCATCTCAGTTCCACAATTGAAACGTGCTGGTTGTCTTACAACATTCACATATAGAATCAAATTGCAACTATATCGCCAGGCCTGCCAATGGCAAGAAAATATAAATATTTATATGATTGGAATTTGCAGCAAAAACAAAACCACTACACTTATCAAGTCTTCAATCAGCATTGCAAAACTGTTGGTATGAGGGGACATGATCCAACGTTCCCAGGTTCGCTCCCATTGGCTAGTTATCACGCGCATAGGTTGCACGTGCACATCTGCAATTGGCCAAGTGAGTGCAACCGCCAAGCCAACGACAGAGCACCACAACTTGAATGCGAACTCACATGAGTGAACTGAAAGTGCCACCTATAAATAGAGCTGCAAAATGTATCATTTTGCCTGCAATTCATTTGCGACACTTCCTCACAGTGACTTGAACTTCTGTGCCCACTACCCCACTACGGCTACGTGAATACCTCCTACTTCTAACAACATGCCTTTTCAACCATTCCTACCGAATTATCAATCAACACCAACATCTCATCTACCTTCGGCATCTTCGTCTCACCCGAGTGTTCAATGTTGGGAAGACGGTGACAACAATGACAAGGAGAACAAACCTAGAGTGAAGGTGAAAGGAGGAGAGACGGGGACTGAGGTGTGCAAGAAGAAGAAGACGAAGAAGACGTCAAGTAAGTTGTCGAGACGAAACGAACGTGAGAGGAATAGGGTGCACCTCCTGAATCAGGGATTTGATCGACTGAGAGCAGTGGTGCCCAAACGGGAAGGCGAGTATCTGAGTAAGATCTCAACTCTGAAGAAGGCGATTTGGTATATTGAGCACTTGGACAGAGTTCTGAGGGAGGAATACGTTGGAGTGGCAGGAGGAGAGGAGTCAGTAGCAGAGAGTGGGGTAGTGGGCACAGACTTGGACTCGGGTGGCACCGGGATGGAGACGCAGTCATTGGGAACGTTTAGACGTGAAGAGGGAGTTGGAGGGACAGGCGACGAAGAGGTGGGGAGACTGTCACCGATATTTCCACCAAGAATGGTGGAGGACGAGGAGGAGGAGGAAGAGGTGGTGTATCCAGCTAAGCCACTTCCATTCTCGTCCTCGAAAACACAATTTGACAGTGGTTATCTAAGTGGAAGCTTCCAGACACCTGGTCGGATTGAGGGGTATCCACCACCA